TATGAATTGTAATGTAAATATCTGATATGCAGGATGGTCTTAGGCGACCCCTGTGAAAGGGTCATTTGACCGCCAAAGGGGTCGCGACCCACAGGTTGAGAACCGCTGCTCTAGGGCGCTAACTTACCGAGCACTTTCCTTGTGCCAGCATTGTGCTAGACCTCACTGCAGTCATCTCAGTCCTCACCCAACTCTATGGGGTCAGTATTGTCGTCATCGTCGTTTACAGATGGGGCAGCCGAGGCCCAGAGAGGTTAAGACACTTGCCGTGGGTCACACAGCTGGATGTGGCCGAGCTGGGAGCTAGTCCCAGGTGACTGATTTTCAGGGCTTGTTCTTAGCCCCAAGCTGTACTTTCTTCAAGTCTAGATTCTAGACCCTTTACCCTTCTTTACACCCCCTCCCTCAGGTACTGTTTCACCTGATTTCACCCATGCCTGAGTGATTCCTAAACTCCAACCCAGCTCTCAATCTGCAGCCCCCTTTCAAAGCCTCCAGGGTGTCTCCTCTTGGAAGTTTCCTGGGACCAGAGACCTCAGTGCAGCGAATCAGCTCCACCCCACCCCACCTCACACATGCCCCCTCTCAGTTTTCCTTTCTCTTTACCCCCACAGGCCTACTGTTCCAATTAACCTGCCTTTTTTCTCTCACAATTCAAGTGCTTATTCATTCAACAGATTTTTATTGAGCACCTACTACATGTAAGTCACCATGCAAGGTGTGGTGGGAATACAAGGATGAGTCAGGCCAGCCCCTACACTCCAGGAAGCGCTGATATGTACATGATAACTTGCCGTGCAGCACACAGAACGGAATGCCCTCTGTGCACCAGACACCAGAGAAATACCTCAAGGCACAGCTGCTGTTGTGCTGGCTCAGCTCAGGAGGGCAAACAGCACTTGACATTTATCTCCATGTTATTTACTTAAAAAATCGCTTAACTCTTATTCAACATACATCAGGCACTGTACATATGAACTCATTAAATCCTCATAGTAATTCTGTGAAATAGGTTCTATTATCCCCATTTTGCAGATGGTACAACTGAGGCCCAGAGAGATTACTGACCCACAGACACACAGCTGGTAATGATGGAGCTGGAGGGAGTAGGGATGATAACAGTGCCTCACTGCCCGGCTGTTCTGACATCCGGTCTCATGCTGGCTGCAGTGAGCACATTAGCCACACAGACACAGACAAAGGCGGGAGAGATGACCTTCGGAGGCTGTGCAGGGAGGACACTGAGCTTGGCCTGGCAGGGAATGGGCAGGATTTGGACTTGGATTGGGGAGACCTGGAAGGTTGTATTCGAGGGATTTTCAGAGATCAGGCGAACAAGTACTAATATACAGATACCGAATCATAAGGTACACCTGAAACTTTCATAATGTTATTAACAATGTTACTGCATTTAAAAAAGAAACATATATATTAGTTACTGCGTTTACACACAGAGAGAATAGGAGCCCAGAGCCAAGGCTTTGGGAAAGGGATAGAGGGCGAGTTGGAAGGGGGCAGGGGTTGACAGGAGAGGAGGGGGAGGGGGAGGAGTCCTTGGCGGGCTGCGTGTGAGAGCAGCAGGATGAAAGGTTATGTGATGAAGGTCCATCTGCTGATGCCGAGCTCGGGGTGGGTTGGAGCAGGGAGAAGACAGAAAGGAGGGAGGGCCCGTTGGGAAGTGTTTTCAGGCAAGACCAGTCAAGAAAACAGAAACTACATTAGGCATTTCAACAGAGAATTGGTTCAGCAGGTGTTGAAGACCTGAAAAAACAAGAGGAAAACTGAGATGACACAGAACCAGGAGAGAGAGGCGGGGTTGCCAGAGCCTGAAGCAGAACCCACGGAGCAGGAGCAGACCTCCGAGGAGGCTGCCCACTCGGTGGTGCCGCAGGGACTCAGGCTCCAGCGTGGGAGGCCATCCATGGCACCGGTCACTGGGACCCACTGCCCACCATCCGGGACACGACCCAGTCTATTTCAGACCATCCTGGCACCACGGTGCTACTGGGGTCAGGGTCCAGGCAGGCGCAGACCTGCTCTAGGTGTCCCGGTGTGAGGGTGTCATGGGGACATTAATCCATCATGGAGGACCTAGATCAGCGGTTCTCAACCTGTGGGTCGAGACCCCTTTGGGGGTTGAACGACCCTTTCACAGGGGTCGCCTAAGACCATCGGAAAACACATATATAATTACATATTGTTTTTGTGATTCATAACTATGCTTTAATTATGTTCAATTTGTAACAATGAAAATACATCCTGTATATCAGATATTTACATGACGATTCATAACAGTAGCAACATTACAGTTATGAAGTAGCAACGAAAATAATTTTATGGTTGGGGGTCACCACAACATGAGGAGCTGTATTAAAGGGTCGAGGCCTTAGGAAGGTTGAGAACCACTGACCTGGCTGATGAAGGGGACAGCAGGGCAGCAGAGTCACTGCAGGAGCCTCGCCCCAGGGCTGGGGAACAGGGAAGAGGGGGTCCTCAGGACCTCGAAGCTCAGGAGGACCCTGGGGAGCTGAGAGGCGACCTCTGAGAAGGGGCCCCTGGTGCCTCTGAGCGGGTGTAATAAACCTGGAGGCAGCAGCTAACGTGCTGCTGGGGTGAAGGCCATGGCTAGGCTGCTGCTAAGAGAAACGAGCAGATGCAAGGAGCAAGTCCTGCTCCCGCCACCTTCCCGTCTCTCTCTAGAACTCTCCTTGGCAGAGCCGAGTTTGCATTGTCCCGGCCCCAGCATCACAGGGCAGGGCCTGGATAGGTGGGTGAGGGCTGCGACCAGCCCAGGTGTGGGGTAACGGGGCAGCCAGCAGGGACAACCCAGGTCGTGTGGCTGGGATGAAGGGGGGGGGGGTTGAGTGTGGGAGGAAGGAGGAGAGTCAGAGGTGACTGGGTGGAGTCTGGGGACAGTGACAGTGAATGGTGACACCATGAACAGAACCAGCGAGATGGGGGTGGGGGAGACAGCTCAGGGCCCGGGGACACAACCTGACCCTCGCTGTAGATGAGCCGGGATTGAGCAAAGGCCCGTCATTCCTCAGGAGGGGCAGTCAAGGTAGCGAGTAAAGGAGACAGAGTAGTCGGGGGCAGAGGGCCAAGGACAGACCCACGGGGTGCCCACGTCTGGGAGGCGGGAGAACCAGGCCGGTGCAGGGTCACCAGGGCCACCAGGCCTGAGGGCGAGGAGCTTGAGGACTGAGAAGCGACCCCTGGGCTTGGCGATTCGGAGGTCACCCCTGCATTGTGCCTTTGCAGATGTCACCCCCTCCGTCAAGAGTGCCCCTCCATGCCATCACCCCCGGCTCAGCCTCGCCCCTGGGAAGTCTGCCCACTAATGAAACCACTCACTCTTTCTTTCCTCGCTGTGCCCCAGACACTCGGCTTCTCAGCTTGTGCTGTTTGAATTTGCACTTGTCATCTTGTTGCTCTGCAAACGTGTTTACCGTTCTTTCTCCTCGCTGTGCTCAGATCCCTCCTCAGCCGACACAGGAGGTTTCCCATGAGTGTGGGTGACTGACTGGCAGTCAGAAGAAAGAAATATGAAATTAACCAGACAAATCTGTGGGGAATTTCACAAGCGGATGAGCCAATTTCCAACTGGATTCAGAAGCCCAAATGGAGTGGGGAGGGTGGATGCGGTCCGAACGCAGGGAGATTGATGTGCTCTCTGCTCGCGGGGGCGGGGGGCGGAGGGGGGTACTGGTGACTCCAGCCTGTGGTCTCCCCAGTGTCCTGGAAGGCTGCAGTGATGAGGGCCTGGGGGCCGTGTCAGAATGGTCAGAAGGCTCCCTGAGCTCAAGGAGGGGTGGGGGTCTGGCCCAGAGAACACGGTGTTGGAATCCTAGGGCGGTTACTCAGCTTCTCTACAACTGTCAGATGAGGGTAATGATGAGGGGGGAGGGGGTCATGGACTGAGATTGTATGAATGGGCTCAGGAGGGAGGCTCACATGTGTTGGTTTCCTTGTAAGAGGTGGTGGCCAATAGGAAAGCAAGACCCGGATAGCTCACCCAAACCCGGAGGAATCAACATGAAATGAAATGCCATGAATAGTCAAGTCATTGTCTCACAGAGAAAATTATAGATGAGAAAAGTCAAAACTGAGACGTGAACAGATAACTGTATGGTGCCAGATGGGTACTAGGTTTCTCAGGGTGATCACTTGGTAAGTTATATGTCTCATCACTGAAACTAATATGATGTTGTATGCCAACTGGAATTGAAAAATAAAAGATGATTTAAAGTTTGTTAAAAAGGAAAGTGAACAGAGCAGAAGGCTATGGGGAAATCAAGTCAAGAAAAGCATTGAAGCCGCTGTAAAATAGGAAACGAAGGGGAAGAGATTGCACCCAAGGATGCAAGTCAGGGACGCGAGTGAAAACAGGCATCCTGTCGGGGCTGGGCGGGGGTGGAGACTCAGTGTGAGACTCACGGTGGAGAAGGTGTTGCAGATGGAAACAGCGTGGCATCAAAGGAGGCCGGGCAGAGCCATCGGTGGGAAGGTGGGGAGGGCCTGCCGCCAGCACCCTTGGGGGCACAGGAGGAACTCCAGATGAACTTGCCCCCAACATTCTTACGAGAAGTCCAGATCTCAGCCTGAGACTGTGACATAAACCTTTAGTTTTGAGGAACCAGTTTATGGGGTTATCGACCCACAAAGGCAGGCCGGGGAGATGACCCACTGGGTGAGGCGAGCCTGGAGGAGACAGCTGCTGCTGCAGGCAGACTTGGCCCTGGGAACACGGACCCCAGCGGTCACAGATGGGCGCACCCAGGCCGAGGGGCAGTACCACCTGGAAATGGACTTCAAGGTGGCATCGTTTCGTTTTTCATAAATGCAGGAACTCTCA